GGCGGGGGGCGGCGGGGGGCCGGCCGGCCGCGCCCGGCTGCTGGCCGTGCTGCTGGCTGGGCTGCTCGGCGGGGCGCGGGGCTTCGGCGACGAGGAGGAGCGGCGCTGCGACGCCATCCGCATCGCCATGTGCCAGAACCTGGGATACAATGTCACCAAGATGCCCAACCTGGTGGGGCACGAGCTGCAGGCGGACGCGGAGCTGCAGCTCACCACCTTCACCCCCCTCATCCAGTACGGCTGCTCCAGCCAGCTCCAGGTGGGTCGGGGCTCCGAGGGGACCTGGGTGCGCGGGCGAGGGGGGGACGACGCGCGGCGGGACTGTGTGGTCCCCGGGCCGGCTGCTGTCCCCCAGCATCCCCATCCTCATCCCCATCCCCTCGACTCAGCACAAAACCAACCTGAAAGTCCCGCCGGCTCGCAGTGCCGCTCCTGGCTGGCTGGGGAGAGCACGGCTCACGTTGGGCGGAGGGACAGGGGGCCGGCGGCATCCCGGCGTTGTCCCGGCTGCCCGCGGCAAGGAGCGCGGCGCGGTGCCCCCCACCCGCCCTCCTGCGGAGGCTGCAGCGGCTCCCGGAGCTTTCCCAGGCTCTGCCCTGTGTCCCGGCCGTGCCCCAGGTGCCGCACCCGCTTCCATGCGGAACGAGCGGAGCTGGCTGCAGGAAGCTGTGGCGACTTGGGACCCCCCCCCTACCCCCCGGGAACTTCACCGCGGAAATTTCTTTCCCAAGCGAATAGCAAAATCGCTGTCCTCCCCACGGGCATGGATTTCATCAAACAAAACCCAACTTGTTTCATGGGGCAGAGTTCCCGAGTCCGCACGCAATTCCTCTCACGGTGTCGCGTCGCTGAATTGCGATTATTCAAAAGAGGAGAAAACTACAATGTTTTATTACCGTTGTAAATACATGCGTGAAGTCATTGTAAAAGAAATACATTCTTCTAGGAGGATCACGAATCAAAGTAGTTCAACAAATGCCTTTTTTTTTCCTATTTGTTTCTTAACTGGAATATCCAGACAATGCCCAGAACAAATATATGTATTTGTTTAAGCCACTTTAATTTGTTTTTTTCTGCTTTCTTAAATTGCACCCTTGAGCTTCAAGTCTGGCTGAATCCCACTTGCTTCATTGAAACTGATGGGCTAAATTTACATAGAGCTTATCTAGGGAGTAAAACGTTCAGGCTTTGGCTTCGGACCACATTTGAACTGAAGAAGACAACATTGTTATTTTTTCTCTTTTGTTTTTATTGTTCTTAGTTTATTTGTTTTATGCTGCTTCCTGTTTTTTAAGGCAAAGGACCAAATATTACTGCTAAAAAGTAAAAAAAAAAAGAAAACTTGTTATATATCAACTTGTCTAATTTTCCTCGGACGCACTTGTGATTTTTGTTTCTCTCTTCCAGTTCTTCCTGTGTTCAGTCTACGTCCCAATGTGCACAGAGAAGATTAACATCCCCATAGGTCCCTGTGGTGGCATGTGCCTCTCTGTCAAAAGAAGATGTGAACCTGTTTTAAAAGAATTTGGATTTGCCTGGCCAGACAGCCTAAACTGCAGCAAATTCCCACCCCAGAATGATCACAACCACATGTGCATGGAGGGCCCAGGAGATGAAGAGGTTCCCCTTCACAGCAAGACCTCCTTGCAGCCTGGAGAAGAGTGCCACAGCATGGGGTCTAACTCAGATCAGTACATTTGGGTGAAGCGAAGCTTGAACTGTGTCCTGAAATGTGGCTACGATGCTGGTCTCTACAGCAGGTCAGCTAAAGAATTCACAGATATCTGGATGGCTGTGTGGGCCAGTCTTTGCTTCATCTCAACTGCCTTCACAGTCCTGACCTTCCTGATTGATTCATCCAGATTTTCCTACCCGGAGCGCCCAATCATATTTTTGAGCATGTGCTACAATATTTATAGCATTGCTTATATTGTGAGGCTAACTGTGGGCCGGGAAAGGATATCCTGTGATTTTGAAGAGGCAGCAGAACCTGTTCTTATCCAAGAAGGTCTTAAGAACACAGGATGTGCTATAATTTTCTTGCTGATGTACTTTTTCGGGATGGCTAGCTCCATCTGGTGGGTTATTCTGACACTGACGTGGTTTCTGGCTGCAGGACTCAAGTGGGGCCACGAAGCTATTGAAATGCACAGCTCGTATTTCCACATTGCAGCCTGGGCTATCCCGGCGGTAAAGACCATCGTCATTTTAATTATGAGACTAGTAGATGCAGACGAGCTCACCGGCCTTTGCTATGTTGGGAACCAGAACCTGGATGCGCTGACAGGCTTTGTCGTCGCTCCGCTTTTTACCTACCTGGTCATTGGGACTTTATTCATTGCAGCGGGACTCGTGGCCTTATTTAAAATCAGGTCTAATCTCCAGAAAGATGGAACTAAAACTGACAAACTGGAAAGACTAATGGTCAAAATTGGTGTCTTTTCAGTGCTGTACACCGTTCCAGCAACGTGTGTCATCGCCTGTTATTTCTATGAAATCTCCAACTGGGCCATTTTCCGCTATTCAGCAGATGATTCCAATATGGCAGTGGAGATGCTCAAAATTTTCATGTCCCTTCTGGTGGGTATTACATCAGGTATGTGGATCTGGTCAGCCAAAACTCTGCACACGTGGCAGAAGTGCTCGAACAGACTGGTGAACTCAGGGAAAGTGAAACGGGAGAAGAGAGCAGATGGTTGGGTGAAACCCGGAAAAGGGAACGAGACTGTGGTCTGAGAAAAAGATGACACCCCAATGGTCTGACTACTCTCCTGTGAAGGACTGATGGTGTGTAAGCATTGCCATGTAAATTTTGGGAATAGAATAGGGAGACGGTTACAAAACCTTTCTCTGGGGGATTAAAAAAAAAAAAAAAAAGCCTTAAAGAATAAACAGCAAAAAGATCATGCTGCAGATACAATAGCCATAAACCATGCTGCCCAAAATAGGAGAGCCCAGGGAGGCTTTAAAACTGTGAAATACACAAACGTGTTATCTTCCTTTTTTTTTTTTTTAAAGCAGGATGCAATTACTGAAGTCTTGAAGTCTTTAGAAGCTGAGGGGCTGTAGCCCACAGCTGCAGGATGATATTTTTCTTTCATCGTCTTATAGCTGATGGAGGAAAGGCAGTCCAGGGCCAAATTTTGGGCTTATTTAGCGTCCAGTTACCAGAAGGTGGAGTACCCAGAACCTCAGTTAGATGTCTTCTTTCCTAGTTCAGCATCAAGAAGGAAGCATTTGATGAGGATTATGTCTTTATGCCCTGGGGAATTCTGTTGTTCCCATACACTGCACAAGTCAGCCAAGGATCAGTCCTCCAACAAATAGCAAGTGGGCTTTCCAGGTCTGAGCTTTACCCATGATGAGTAGGATTTAGTGAGGTATTAGTGAGGATTATTCTTGAAGTCACCTGATGGCCTAATAATAATTTCAACTCATTTTTTTTACCATTTGTAACCTGGTCTGAATTGAGTGTTGATTTTGCCACATGGGAATTTGGACCTCCCTGCATCCCTTCACACTTGATTTATTCTGTGATTCTATGAATATTTCTAATTTTTTAAAAGCTTTACTCAAGGCCAATGTCAGATGTAGAGGACTCAGCAGAAAGTGAGAAACTGTGTATGGTCTTCTGCATCAATTATTATTATCCATATGCCTCCATTCCTGTCCCTTCAGGTGCTCCTGCTGTTTCCAGCAGACTACTTTATTCTGCTGCATTTAATAACTTTAAATAAAGTCTTACAATATAGTGTTCCCTCCTCAAGGAAAGAGAAAAAAGGAGTTGAGGGTACCTTAAAACAATGCCAGTTTTATCCAAGTAAACTTACCTGTCTCTCTCTGGAGACCCATTGCATAAAGCAATTAAGTCTTAATATATTTTGTTCAGTGTGATGGTATCTCTGCAGACACCAGTCTGGGGAGAATCAAAATGTTAAGTTCCTTGGTAACCTCATGTTCACACAGATCAGTTGTATAATTATGTGTGTCAGTTCCAATTAAAAGAACATTCTCAGCCCATGACATCGCAGTACCGCTGACTGCCTCACAATGATGCTTCAGTTGCTCACTAGTGGCTATGGAGAGGGTTTTTTTAATGTATATTTACACACAGAATGTGAGCAGGCATTCAGTCTGCAGGAACAACAAAGACCTTTCCAGTTTTTGTAAAGGGATCCAACTTCTTGGTGAATAATGTTGTTTCAAAGCAACTGTTGAGCTTTCTTATCCTTTTGTTTGAGGAGGCATCAGCTTGTGCTTATTGGGAGATTGAACCTAGTGTCAGGGGCTTGTTTGGCTAATAAGAAAGATGATACAAATAGAAATACCCCAGAAGCACTTAAGAGAACACCATTCAGATGTTCTATCCCTTTGAAAGACCTTTGGTTTTATGTGTGTGCTCTAAAGTTTTACTTCATTTCTTTGTGTGAACCTGATCTGCTGCAGAGCATTCCCCCTGGTGTCCCAACTCACACGACCTTCAAGGGCAGCTGAGAACAGATGTTGCTTTATTAAAGTACTTGCTTTTCACACAGGTGCCCATGTGCTTCCCAAAACACAGTTCACTCCAGCTCTGGAAGTGAACACTAATATGTCCAAGCATGTATTATTTCAGTGTCAGTGTCAAAACATGTGCTAGAGCACTTTTTTTAAACTAAAAACCAAACCCTAACAGCTGAGCTCCCTCTCCAGCAGAACAAGTGACAACTTGACACATTCTACTCAAGACTCATAAGCGTTGTCTTGGTCAATGCCACGTTCCAGCCAGGCCTTTTCATCCTCTCCATAAAGTCTCTCGTTATTAGTGTTGTGTTTGGGTCTGCTTATGCCTTTGTGGACAAGGAGTTCTGCAAGTATGAGATCTTCAGGTGGCTGAGCTTCTCCATCACCCAGTCTTTGTGCTGGTGCAGCAAGGAATGTAAAGTCAGCAGCTATATGTTGGCTTTCAAAGAGGGAGGATGCAGTATGAGTCTTTTTTGGTAAAGTAGTATTGGGCTGTGCCAAGGTGTCATGTTCACTCAAGTGTCCTTCGCTCTGAAACACTTTGGATACTTTCCTGGCTGATATGACCCGTGTTTGACCAGACTGATTCAATAAATGAAGTTTTTAACCACGTTATTTATACAGAAGTGAATGTTAAGTAGTACCTTGTTGTCAAATCCTTGCATCTCTGCCTGTGACCCTGTGAACTGTGACAGAGGGATGCCCCTGGTATTGTGAGATGATGTGAGTTGGATGAGGATGGCACTGTGTAGCCCTATGAGGGACCTGGGGGGATATCCCAATTAAAGCATGTAAGCGACTCAAATGTGATGGGAAGGAGGTGGGCTGGGGGGAGACACCAGCTGCTATTCCTGAACATCTTCCCCCAGCAGTCGGGGGCAAGCTGTACTGACCCAAAGTGAAATTAGTTGTTGCAGCAATTAAACCATTCCATAAATGCATTCATCCATGTGTGTTTACCTTGCTCCACTTTATGTCTGTATGAGTGGGAAGTCACAGCAGGTAGCCTAAAAACCGGTGGTTATAGGGTAGGTACCAGCAACTCTTGGGTTCCCTTATCTCAGCGTTGTTATGAATTTAAAGCCAAAACCAGTGTGACTAATCCTGTCTTGGAAACGCAGTTGCTGTGGTTATACAACTAGAAACTTTACAGGCATTTCCTTGGATTACGCAGTCCCTGCTCCCATCTCCCTCCTCAGCATGTGCTCTTCTCACTGCAGGTTCTGGAAGTGTCTGCTTGAGAGGTACAAGCTTAGCTCTTACATTAAACAGACATGTTAGTTCCTTTTTCTGAATTTTAAGGAAATAGATACTGATTATTTTGGGGTGTACAAAAAATATATCTACTTCAATGTATGTACTGTAAATTTCTAATTTATCACTGTAAAAAAAACCCAAAGCAAGTTTGCTATTTAATTTTTATATAAAAATAAAACTTTAACCTCTGTGGATAACTAAAGAATTCCTGGCACCCCTCACGTTTTTGGTAAGTTTGTTTCTTAAATTACCTTCAGCGTTTTTTTGGAAGTGCTTTTTTCCCCTGAAGGAAGAAGGGCTGAAATGCTCATGCTGGAATGAAATGATGCTTTGAATGGGTTGATCCAGCATGATTTGGATCTAAATGTGCAATGTGAGGAATAAGAGAACAAGACATCATTGAGCAACAGTGAAAGTGTGTTCATGCTTCTGCACATGGTGTGGACAGAAACCCTTTCAAAGACAGTGCACGTGTCCCAGGTTCTGGCTGGGGATGCGCCTGGAACTTTAGGCTTGTCTGAGAATGTCCCAGGATCCCAATGGATTGGCAAGATGAAAGCATAGCCATCTGCTGCTCTAGCACTGCTGTGATGTGGCTCTTGAGAAGAGCAGCACCTCCTGTAAGGCTCCCTTTTGTTTCAGGTATTATGGAATATGTGCATCCAGAGATGCACTGAGCATTCAAATTCAAGGTATATGGTAGAGGAGGGCAGTGTCAATATATATATCAGAAATATTAGTAGCTTTTGGAAGGGGCAAATTTTAATCTTAACAATGTGCTTGAAATGAGTTCACTCCTATGGGCGATTTCAGTGATTTCAGCCATTCAGAGAACAGTTTCAATGGAATGTTTACATTTTCTAGCAATGGTTTTCTAAAAAATAAGTTTATTATTGCTCCGCTTTTCATTGCTTTTTTTTCATTTCTGTTCACAGTTGGGATGTATGGTGACAGCAAGGAGTTCATTTTTGTGCATATCCCTCACCAGTTTCTCTGACACTGATAGGGCAGTTTGCAATATTAGTCATCTAACCCACTTAATCATCTCCATCATGAAACATTCTGTGTGTGTGATAACTTAATTAGCACAATATTATTTTAATAAAAACCTAAATCAGACTAGAGTGGATAATAGCGAGGGTGTGCTATAAAGAAGACAGTAGGAAATATCACCTGTGCATCTGTAGCTAATCAAGTTTTGGAGAGCAGCACCTAAAACTGGTAATTATGAGTGATTTGCTCATGCCTTTTGCAGCTCATCATTGTAATGTTCTCAGGTTGGTGATTAATGAGGTCTCTGAAACTTATCGTAAGGAATCTTTAATAAAGCTACTGTTAACTGTAGCAAACATAGAAGAGCTTCTGGGAAAGGGAGGAGGATCTCCCTCTTGTTCACACCATGAGAGAATCTCAGGTGTGGCATACCAGACAGCGTTGGCAGCTCCAGGTCTCTTATGGCTGCTTGCCTTTACACATGTCCTTCACAGAAGGTGTCTCCGAGCATCACCTATGAAGTGATGGGAGATTTCTGGAGTGGCTTTGAATGGTGAACAACCTCCTCAAACCACTGGGATGACAAATTAGCCCAGGTTTACCTATTGGGGGGAGTATGTATCTGCATACAAAACTCAAAAAAATAGCCTTTATAAGGTCTTTCTGTGGTTGTTTTGCTATTTAGCCTTGGCTTTTTTGCTTGGTTGGTTTTGTCTTTTTTTTTTTGTTTTGGTTTTTTTGGTTTTGTTTTTTTTTTTTTTTTTTTAAAATCTGTCTTTTAAAGAAAGCAAATATTGGGGAGTTCATAGCAAAGGAGACCAGACTTCAGCTACCAAAAATCAGGAGCAGCCTAAGCTCCAGTAGTGTGAAAATATGGTGTCATGAGACCTGGGCTTCAGTGGTGGAGTTTCCACCACACCTCCGCTGTCCTCAGCCGCTCATTCCCATAATGGTGCTGCATTTCAGCTCCTTCACTTTGCCAGTACAATGACTTGTGTGGTGCTGCAAAGCAGATCAGCAAGAAGATCCGGGATAAAAACAAACACCAAAGGTTTTTGCTTTGTTTTATGATGGAGGTTTAATTTTAACTTGGATCATGTCAGGGGTCTTGTGGCAGACACACCTAGGGCTGTACTGTTGCAAGTGAGGCATCAGGATTT